ATTGTGGATGGAAAATTCATTGGTATGCTGTAATGATGGATAGTGAATTAATGTAAAAAGTAAATAAATTTAAAGAGAAAAAAAGAAATAGGAGGAAATATGTATATACAAGAAACAAGAAATTGATGACAACATGTATGATTAAGCCACTTTACATTGTATTCTGACTGGAAAATCACATTTTGTATGCTATGTTGATGTTCAGTGAAAGAATGTAAAATAAATAAATAAATAAAAGAAAAAGAATTAATTAATTAATTAATTCTTCTTCTTATTATTATTTGACTGGGCCAGAGAGAGAGGGAGAGAGGAGAAGTGAGAAAGCAAGCTGCCAGACCTGGAACTCAAACCATGGTCTGCCATGTGGGAGTCCAGCACCTTAATCTCCACTCCACCTGCCACATGCAGATATTTTGTACAGGGCAACTCACCCAAGGTCATAGAGATATTCTGTGTAGGACTGGACCTTAAAGCTCCTTTTCTCTCTCTCTCTTTTTCTTTTTTTTTAAATTTGCTCTAGGATATGTGCACTCAACCAAAGAGAGAGAGAGAAACAAAGAGAAAGAGAGAGAGTGAGAAACCACCCTCCAGAGGGGTTGACTGCACTACAATCCCTTATTCTCCATTCTTCCTCAGCATTTTTGTACACATGTGCACATGTACCCAGAGTGATTTTCTTTTTCTTTTTTTTCTTAAGAATTATTTATTTAATTTTATCATTTTAAAATTTGCTATAGGGCACAGGTACTCACCAGAGAGAGAGTGAGAAAGCAAGAAAGCAAGCCGCCAGGTCCAGGACTTGAACCATGGTCAGCCACATGGGAGTCTAACAGTCCAACCACAATTCCACCTGCCTGCCCCTCAGCGTGATTTTCAAGCTGTTTGGGCCTGGGACTTGAATCTTGCAGTCGATATTGTGGGATCCAACCTCCTTAACCTCTGTACCACCTGCTGACCCAAGGCTGTGTCTCTTTTTTTAACTGTACCTTCCAGCTATAGATGTTCAGAAAGGTTAAGACACCCAATTCTTGCTTATTACATTTTACTGTAGTACCCCTCCCACACCTGAGTCATGGTTGTTTCAAGATGAATTTTAGATGGTTAGTAGAAATTTTTCAAATATCCAAAATAAATTTTTTAAGATTTCCTTTGTGCTCTAAATTCAATAGCTGTTTTGGTATCAGTTAGACTGTGTTCTAGCTTCCTTGTAAGCAGCCCTGTAGTTTAAGGATCACTTATTGCTGAGATACTAGTTATGATAAAAATTTTTTTCCTAGCCATTTTGACTTTTAGATGATGATCTTGAAGCTTCTGAACTACCTGCTGTATTTTTTCCTAGGTCAAGTCCTCGGCCTCAGGGACTGAGTCTTGTGTGTGGTGGACTGGATGCCAAGTAACTTATAGTTGCAGATATTGCAGTGGCCTTTTTGCTTTTTAGCAAAATTTAGTTGGTTTTATATAGACCAGGTAACCTGCTATCTTAATTTAGCAGATGAAACATCTTGTAGATGGTGTAATGGTGATGCCACTGGACTCCCACATGGCCAACGTGATTTAAATTCCTGTACCTGGCAGCTTGATGCATATATGCCCAAGAGAGAGTGGAGAAGGGATTGCGGCCATCCTCCCCAGGGGTGATTTCTCGCTTTCTGTCTCTCTCTCTCTCTCTCTCTTTCCAGTGAGCACACATGCTCTATTGCAAAAATCTCTTTTAAAAATAAGCTGAGGGGCTGGCAGGTGGCATGGTGGTTAAAGGCGCTGGATTCCCACATGGCTCACCGCGGTTTGAATCCTGGACCTGGTGACTTGCTTTCTCACTTTTCCTTTCTCTTTCTCTTTCTGTCTGATCAAACTAGAAAATAATAATAATAGTAATAATAAATAAAGTTAAATAAAATAATTATTTTTAAAAATTATTTATTTAATTTTATTTATTCATTTATTTATTTTAATTTGACCAGAGAGGGATAGAGAGAGAGTGAGAAAGTGAGAAAGCAAGCAAGCAAGTAAGCCACCAGGTCTGGGACTCGAAACGTGGTTGGCCATGTGGGAGAGTCTAGCACCTTAACCACCACACTACCTGCTAGTCCCAAGAAAATAATTCTTTTAAAAAAAAGTTTCTCAGGGCCAGCAGGTGGTATGGTGGTTAAGGGCGCTGGACTCCCACATGACTGACCATGATTCTAGTCACGGGCCTGGCAGCTTGCTTGCTCACTTTCTTTCTCTAGCTCTCTCTCCCCCCCCTCTCTGGTCAAATCTAAATAAGAAAGAAAAAGTTAAGGGACCAGCAGTTGGCATAATGGCTATGTCGATGGACTCCCATGTAGTCGACCACAGTTCAAGTCCTGGACCTAGTGGCTTAAACTCAAGCCAGACGCATGTGTGTGCGTGCCCAAGATCCCGAGAGGAGAATGGAGGAGAAGGCATTGCGGTGTGACCATCCCTCTGAGGGATGATTTCTCGTTTTCTGTCTGTCTCTCTCTCTGTCTTTCTAGTGAGCTCATGCCCCCTATAGCAAAAATCTCTCATAAAAAAAAAAAAAGTTAAATAAATAATTAAAAAAAAATTCTCTGAAGCAGACAGTTGCTCAGGTTTATCACCCTAGCACTGAGATGACATATCTGTATATAAATTCTTTCCAAATGATTAAAAATACATAGATGGGGGCCAGCAGGTGGCATGGCATGGTGATTAAGTTGCTGGATTCCCATGTGGCCTATTGCAGTGGAGTCCTGGACCTGGTGGCTTGCTTTCTCACTTCCCCTTTCTTGCTCTCTGGTCACATGAAAAAATAATAATTATAGGGACCTGCAGATGGCGTGGTGGTTGGGGCTCTGGACATTCCCACATGGCTGACTACGGTTCGAGTCCCGGACCTGGTAGCTTGCTTTCTCGCTTTCCCTCTTTCTCGCTCTTTGTGTCTCTCTCTGGTCAAATTAAAATAAATTAAAAAGAATGAATAAATAAAATAAATAATTCTTTAAAAAATAATTATAAATAAAAATTAAACAATTATTTAAAAAAATACATAGATGTTTGAAATTAGGAATGGCATATTTCAAGAGCTTGGACCTTACAGTAAGTTGTATTACTATAGCATAGATTTTTCTTGCTTAGAGTGGTGTAGAATGTAGCAGAAATCAAATAACGTTTTAGACCTGACAGGTCTAAAAATAAAGGATAGTCTTTTGTAAAGTTATTTAAATACATGTTGCTAAAATAGAAACTGTATTACACAATAAGCCACTATTGAGTAAAGTGATTTTACTTTCCTCAGTGTCATCAAACCTATTATTTACTCTTGGGATACAAAGTTAAAAATGTCAAAGCCATTCCTAGATGCAAATGCAAAGATGAGCTTTTTTTTCACTCACTCTCATGTACATTACAGTAGCCCTTTTTTGGTTGTTATTGCTGTAGGGAACTTGTATGGGGAGGGGGAGAGAGAAAGTGAGAGAGGAAGAGAAAGTGAGAAATCATTGTGGGGGATGTTGGCCATGCCATCATCCCTTCTCCTCTATTTTTCTCTTGGGATCTTGGGATTTGGGGCATGCATGTGCACATGCCTGGACTGATTTTCAAGCCACCAGGTCCAGGACTGGAACCTGGCAATCAGCATCTGGCCACCTTAACATGCATGCTACCTGCCTTTTAACCTGTTGCTAAAATTTGTTCTTCCACAAAATTACAAACTCAGTACTTAAAGTTTTGGATGTGAAAAGTGTCCCCAAGATTAACATTGTGTATTCCATTGTGTCAGCTTCTTCATGCTATGTGGTGGTCACATAGTATAGACTGAATTAATTATATCTATTGTAGTCTAGAAACCAAACTATTCTACTTTATTCATAGGGCTGAGAAGGGTTTTTTTGTTTGTTTGTTTGTTTGTTTTCATCTTCAAGTAGTTTTTCGGGTAGTAGAACATACAGCCAAAAAAATGGTGGAAAGACATCAAGATCAAAGTAAAGATTTTTGTCCAGAGATCTCCAACCTCATTCACATTCTTATGATAGAAGACGCAGGCATCAATCAAGCAGTAGTTCTTCTTATGACTCATCTCCCTTGGGCTGGTGTCACATCCTGTTACATGGACTATAATATCTGCCAGGATCTTGCTTTGGACATCTTCTGCTAATGCACTTTATTCCCAAGCCTGTCCCTTCTACCATCTCCAGAAAATACTCTTCTGTTACCCTTGTCCATTGTAAACTGTGGATTGAGACCATTCTTATCCCTTTAGGTTCTGGTCTCCTGGTAACAGGACTCTCCAAGTCAGAGAAGGATTTGATGACAATGAATCAGTTTGACTTCCTTTTATGTATGGAATATGTGAACTTTATAGACCAACCAAACTCGAGTGACAGTTTTCATAGCCAACACCTGATGAGAGAGTATGGTGTCTTTTTCAGAAAGTGAGTGAATAAGCTGAAATGATTTGTGAAGCTGTATGGGCTCTGGATCCAAGATGATAGCTTGTTCTTGTAATGTTCTGGCTGGAGAGAGAATGACAAGTCTAACAGCTGTGCATGGTGTCCTATCCAGAAGTCTTTTGGAATCTGCGAGATGAAAGGATCGTTTTTTTTTGTTTTGTTTTGTTTTTGTTTTTGTTTTTGTTTTTTTGAGAGGTTTTTGCTATAGGGTGTGTGCACCCTCCAGAAAGGGGGGGGAGAGACAGAGACAGAAAGGGAGAAATCACTGCCCCCCCCCACAGGGGGGATGACCACGCTGCAATCCTTTCTCCATTCTCCTCTTGGGCACACACGCACATGTGCCCGGCATGAGTTCAAGCCACTGGGTCTGGGACTTGAACTGCCGTTAACTACATTGGAGTCCAGTGACATAGTCATTACGCCAACTGTTGGACCCAAAATGATAGTTTTTACAGCTGTGGAGGCAGAGCCACTCTTTCTCATATTACCATTGTGTTTTTATTCCTGTATTTGCGTTTCACTGGGTACAATCCTGCTACCCCTGGTCTTCCAGTGAAGTACAGCTGTTATGGTAAATGGTCATCTGTGCCTTTGAAGTCAGATACTATGTCCTCACCTCATTTTCTTCATGGAAAGGGAGAAGTTTCTTTTCCTCTCTCCCCTTAAAAATCTCCAGACTGGGGCTAGCAGGTGGTGGTTAGGGGCGCTGCACTCTCACATGACCTACCGTGGTTCGAGTTCTGGACTTGGCGGCTTCTTTTCTCACTCCCCTGGTCCCCGCTCTATCTTGCTCTCTGTCCGTCTTTGTTCAAATTTAAATAAATAAATAAATAAATAAATAAAGTTAAATAATCTTAAAAAAAAAAATCTCCAGACTGGGACCAGTAGATGGTGTAATGGTTACATCTCTGGACGCCCATGTAGATGACCATGGTTTGGGGCTTAGACCTGGCAGCTTAAAACTCATGCCAGGCATGTGTGGGTGCATGCCCAAAATCCCGAGAGGAGAATGGAGAAGGGATTGTGGTGTGACCATACCCCCCCCAGGGGGGGTGCTTTCTTGCTTTCTGTTTCTCTTTGTTTCTCCAGCAAGCGCATGCACCCTATAGCAAAAGTCTCAAAACAAAACTTTGGACTGCCATTGATTGTATTTTATGGCCAAATGTTAGAGTAATTTATTTGAAAGGTAGTGGTGACCTAATAGCAAGTTAAGATGGTTTTTATGATTTTTTTTCCACCTTGCCAAGTTTGTTTTGTGGATTCACCTTTGGTGTAGGTAATGTACATTTCATCAAGATTTGGTGTTGTTTTAAAGAATTATTTCACTTTATTTATTTATTGATTGATTGGTTTTTAATTTGACCAGAGAAGGACAGAGTGAGGGTAAGAGAAAGAGAGAGAGAGAAAGAGAGAAAGAAAGCAAAACACCAGGTCCGGGACTTGAACCTTAGTTGGTCATGTAGGAGTCCAGTGCCCTTAACCATCACACCACCTGCTGGCCCTGTCATTGTTATTTTCATTTTAAATGTAGAACTTTCTCTGAAGTTGGAGGATTGAAAAGCCACCAGAAGCAAATTAGTCCTTATATATTCATATGAATGAAAAACATTTTGGCCTTTAAAGGGTTAGATTAGGAAATTCAGGGCAGAAAAGAGGCCTGGCCATTAAAATTGTGAAAGTATCCAGAATGTTATTTTTTATGTGATTAGAGGAGGGAAACTTGAAGTATAGATTCGATTATTTAGAGCCCAACTTACTGAAACATTTCTTTTAAAAGAAAGGATAAAGTAAAAAAAGGCAAGATTATTTAAATAATTAAAAATACTCTCTGGTAAGCCTTGGAATCGGCTCAAGTCTGAGTTTCTCTGTGTGTATGTGGTGTTATTTGGTAGTACTCCCAGTGATATCTAAGGTTCAGAACGTTGACCTCCGACTAGTAAAGGGCTTGAATCATTAACAGACAATCATATTTGCATAGTTATATTTAGACTGGAAAGGAGGGACATATGAAGGGATTTTAGATTTTCTACAAGAACATTTTGTTTGTTAACCTTTAGTTGTCCCATAGTTAGAATTTCCACTTGATGATTAACCAGGAAATTTAGGTGAGTGGGGTATGACCAGTCTTTTTATTTTCAAACTGACTACAGAGGACAGTTGGAGAAAGCAAGGGTTATTTTATTTTTTCAATTTTTGCTATAGGACACATATGCTTGCCAGAGGGAGAGAGTGAGTGAGAAGTTACTCCCCAGGGGGAATGGCCATGCCACAGTCCTCTTGGGAATTTGGGCACTCAAGAACACACTTGGCATGATTTTCTACCAAGTTCAAAACTCAAATCATGTGGTTGGCTATGTGGGATCCATACTACCTACTTGCCATGCAAGGGTTATTTATTTATTTATTATTTTTTAAATAATTATTTCATTTTATTTATTCATTCACTTATTTTAAAATTTGACTGGAGAGAGACAGAGAGAGAGCAAGAGAGAGAGGGAAAGTGAGAAAGCAAGCCACCAGGTCTGGGACTCTAGCCGTGATCAGCCATGTGGGAGTATCCAGCGCCTTAATCACCATGCCACCTGTTGGTGCCAGAAGGATTATTTTTTTGTTCATTTTGTTTTCACATTATACACAGAGCATTGTTTTACCATTGTGCCATTGTGAGGTCTCCGCACACGCTTTTTTCCTTTATTATTATTTTTTTCCAATTTCCACAGAGTGCATGTACTGGCTAGAGAGAGGGAGAGAAAGAAAGAGAAAGCATCTTCTACTGGGCATGGTCATGCTGCAGTCCTTTTTCCTTCATTTCTCTGTCCTGCTGGGATTTTGAGTATGCATGTGTGCATGTCCAGTGTGTTTTTCAAGCTGCTGGGGCCAGGATTCAGTGACTGGCAAGGTGGAATCCAGCTTCCTGAACTACTAGGTTGTGGGGCTTGGCCCTATGTTTGTTTGCTTGTTTATTTATTTAGTTAAAAGAGAGATTTTTGCTATAGGTCACATGCACTTCCTGGAGAGACACAGAGATACAGAAAGTGAGAAATCAATCCCCGGGGGGTGACCACACTGCAATCCTTTCTCCTCCATTTTCTTCTTGGGATTTTGGGCATGCACATGCACATGCACCCAGCGTGAGTTTGTTTTAAGAATTTTTTAATTTTAACTTTATTTATTTATTGAGAGGTTTTTGCTATAGGGCACGTGCGCTCGCCAAACAGAGACAGACAGAGACAGGAAGTGAGAAATCACCCCCCAGGGGGGATGACCACGCTGCAATTCCTTCTCCTCCGTTCTCCTCTCGGGATCTTGGGCACGCATGCACATGTGCCCTGCGTGAGTTTTAAGCCACCGAGTCTGGGACATGAACCACGGCTGACCACATGGGAGTCCAGCGACACAGCCATTACGCTAACTGCTGGTCCCAACTTTATTTATTTATTTTAATTTGACCAGAGAGGGACAGAGTAAGAGAGAGCAAGAGATGGAAAGTGAGAGAAGAAGCTGCCAGGTCTGGGACTTGAACCACAGTTGACTACATGGGGGTCTAGTGATGTAACCATTGTGCCATCTACTGGTCCCTATTTTTTTTTTTTTCCAAGAGAGCTGTTTGCTATAGGGCGCATGTGCTCACCAGAGAAACAGAGACAGAGACAGAAAGTGAAAAATCATCCCCTAGGAGGGATGGCCATGCCACAATCCCTTCTCCTCTTGGGATTTTGGGCATGCACGCACATGTGCCTGGCATGAGTGTCAAGCCACCAAGTCCGGAACTTGAACCATGGTTGACTACTTGGGAATCCAGCAGCATACCATTACACTGTCTGCTGGTCCTATGTAATATATTTTTTCTTTTTTTAATGTATTTCTTCCATGAGAGAGCAAAACAGGCATCCCCAACATGTTCTTTATGCCCAGCCTCAGTCAGCCAGTATTATGGGCACCCATGTATCCAGAATGTTCAGGACTCCTTGGGATATAAATTTGGCACCTTCCTGTATGACCTCAGGATCATGGAACACTGCATCACTTCTGTGTCACCACAGCTGGCCCAGAGAAGTATTCTTTAACCTCTGTTGTGTGAGGTTAAAAGTTAGTAAGTGGGGCCAGCAGATGGCATAGTGGGTACATTGCTGGACCCCCCCACATGGTCGACCACTGGACTCAGGGCCTGAAAATCACACAGGGCATATGTGCATACATGTGCAAAATCCTGGGAGGAGAATGGAGGCGTAGAGATTGTGGCATGGCCATCCCCCTTGAGGGTGTGCTCTCACTTTCCTTCTTGCTGTTTCTTTCTTCCTCTCTCTGTTCAGGGAGTGGATGTACCCTGAGGCAAAAACCTCTTTTAAAAAAATGTTAATAATTGAATCCTGTCTGATGTCAGGGGCTCATTTCTAACCCAATTTAACACAGTCTGATAGTTACTTCACCTCTTTACTCAGATAAGCACTTCAATTTTGGCAGTATGCACCTGTCTCTATATTTATACAGATTTTTTGGTGATAAGTAGTTCTTTACAACAGTAGCCATTGCTCATACGTATGTACAGAAGTATCTTAAGAATATGCAAAAAGGCAAAGACTTCAAATGACTTGAGCATACTGATCAATCCTATTAAAAAATTCTTTTTTATTTTTAAATTATGATTCCTAGTTTACAAATAATCATTGTTGATCTGTTTGGGGTACAGTGTGGTTTTTCAAAGCATGCATATAGAGTATAATAAATCAAGGATATAGAGATGTTCATTGTCTTTTATTTAATTATTTAACTTTTTAAATTTATTTACTTATTTTAATTTGACCGGAGAAGGACAGAGGGAGAGAGCGAGAGTGAGAGAAAGAGAGAGAGAGAGAGAGACAGTAAGCTGGTAAGCTGCCAGGTCTGGGACTCAAATCATGGCCGGCCAGGTCGGGACCTAAAATCATGGTCAGCCATATGGGAGTCCAGCCCTTAACCACCACATCACCTGCCGGCCCAGTGCTCATTGTTTTCAACCCTGAACATTATTTGTAATGTAAGTATTTGATGATAATCCACTAACTTTTTTTTTTTTTTTAAGAATTATTTATTTAATTTTATTATTATTTTTTAATTTGTTATAGGGTATGTGCACTCATCAGAAATAGAGAGTCAGTAAGAAAGCAAGCCATCAGATCTAGGACTGAAATTTGGTCAGCCAAATGGGATTTCAGCATTTCAATCACCATATCATCTGCTAGCTCCAGTCTACTAGTTATTGTTTTTTTTTTTTTAAAGTATGTTTTGAATTGTTAGTGACATGTTTACTTGGCTGTGGTATTACAGATCTATAATCTGTTACACTTTTACTTTTTTTTTTTTTTTTAAGATTTTTGTTGGGGGACCAGCAGGTGGCGTGGTGGGTAAGGGCGCTGGACACCCACGTGGCCGACCTGGCACCTTGCTTTCTCACTTTGTCCTCCCTCTCTCTCTCACTCTGTCCCTCTCTGGTCAATTTAAAAATAAATAAATTAAATTAAATAATTCTTTTAAAAAAAGAGTTTTTTTGTTGGGACCAGCAGGTGGCATAATGGTTATGTTGCTGGATTCCCACATGGCCAACTGTTCGAGTCCTGGACCCAGAGTTTGAAACTCCAGCCGGGTGCATGTGCGTGTGTGCCAAAAATCCCGAGAAGAAAATGCAGGAGAACGAATTGTGGCATGGCCATCTCTGCTGTGGGGTGATTTCTTGCTTTCTTTCTGTCTGTCTCTGTCTCTCCAGTGAGTGTATGTGACCTATAGCACAAAAGCTCTCTTTAAAAAAAAAAAAAAATTTTTGTCATAGCCTGTGTGTGCTTGCCAGAGAGAGACAGAAAGGGGGAAAATGACAAATCACCCCCCTAGAGGTTATGACCACACCACCATCCCTTCTGTTTTCCTCTTGGGATTTTGGGTATACATGCACACAAGCCTGGCTTGTTTTCCAAGCCACTGCACCCTGAACTGAACTGCTCAGTTGTCCACATGGGATGCAGCCACCTCAGCCACCACACCCCTGGCTGGCTGGAGAAGCTCTTTATACTGTGTGTTATGTCAGTGGTGGCCCTGCACCACTAGGTCTTCAGGATTAGGATTCCCATCAGTGGTCTCTTCAGTTTCCTACTTGTCATATGTTGGTTAAATATGTTGAATATGAAATAAATGTGTTATTTTCACCTAATTTGATACATTTTACCCACGTATCTTGTGCCTCCTATGCTTAATTGCAGCTTGTGTATCATGTGCTTATTGTTATGCAAATGATAAAAAGTTTATGATTTCTTTTTTTTTTTGGAGAGGTTTTTGCTATAGGGTGCGTGCACTCACCAGACAGACAAGAAAGAGACAGATAGAAAGCGAGAAATCACCCCCCAGGGGGGATGGCCACGCCGCAATCTCTTCTCCTCTATTCTCCTCTCGGGATCTTGAGCACACACACACACGCGCCCGGCGTGAGTTTTAAGCTACCGGGTCCGGGATGTGAACCACGGTCGACTACATGGGAGTTCAGTGACATAGCCATTACGCTAACTGCTGGTCCCAAAAGTTTATGATTTCAGCCCTATATTTGGAGTCCTTGAGAACTCCTGGGGTTTAGCTGGGGAGTCTGTTTTTGACAAATTATGTGGTAAACTGGGCTGTTAAAATTTTGCTGCCTGTTCTGTGGTGTTTCTTCCCACTGGATCATCTTGTTCCTAGTTGTATTATTGATTCATTGAGAACTGACTTTTTTTCTAGGTAGTTTCTCATAATTTTGCTCATTGGTGCGAGTGACCTTGCTTCATTTATTTTGACTGTCACAAAATAATCAGCAGTTTATTCACTAAAGCCTATTAAGCAACAGAGGCTACAGGTAATACAATAGATGGCGGATTTCCGGGTCACGAGTTTGTTTCTGGCAAAGCCAGCCTTCCTTCTTTAGGAGTACGGGGATAAACTTTGAATCAGGTTACACAATTTAGAACAGTAGTTCATCTGTTTGCTCTTGCATTTGACCGAGCTTTCGAGAGTATGTGACAGGAAGAAAAACTAGGGCTTTTAACTCTGATGTAATGCCTGTCCTGTTGCTTGGTAGCAGAAGCCCATGTTGGTTGTGACTGGAGATAGCAGGAGGATTCTGATAAGCTACAGATGGGGTGCTGCCCTGAGTTTACCAGGGGGTTGCTTTGCTTCCTTGTATCTGTACACTTTCCATCTGCTTCACAGCTTACTTTGGAAAAAACAAGAACTTCAGGTTCCCTTTTCTTTTTCTCTTTTTAAAAATATTTATTTAATTTTATTTATCCTTATTATTTTAAGTTTGATTATAGGCACTCATCAGAGAGAGACAGAGAGGGAAAATGAGAAAGCAAGTCACTAGATCCTGGACTTGAACCGTGGTTGACCATGTGGGAGTCTAGCACCCCGACTACGGTGCCACCTGCTGGCCCCTTCTTCCTTTTCTTCTTAAATGGGGCAGCAATGTGTTTACCTTTTGAAAAAACACATAGGTCTTTGCTGTAGTTCCTCGATGGTCATGGCGGCTTTTCTTTTTGTTTTTATTTATTTATTTATTTATTTATTTTGGAGAGGCTTTTTGCTATAGGGCGCATGCGCTCGCCAGACAGACAGAGAGAGACAGAGATAGAAAGCGAGAAATCACCCCCCAGGGGGGATGGCCACACCACAATCCCTTCTCCTCCATTCTCCTCTCGGGATCTTGGGCATGCACGCACACGCGCCTGGCGTGAGTTTAAGCCACCGGATCCGGAACTCGAACCGCAGTCGACTACGTGGGAGTCCAGCGACATAGCCATTATGCTAACTGCTGGTCCCGGTTCACCCATATTTTTTTAAAATTATTTTATTTATTTATTTTTAATTTGACCAGAGAGTGACAGAAGGAGGGAGGGGAAAGGGGGACACCCTCTCCACAGCTTGCTCATGCTATTTACTTTTTTTTTTTTTTGAAAGGTTTTTGCTATAGGGTGCATGCACTCACCAGAAAGACAGAGAGACAGAAGGCAAGAAATCACTCCCCGGGGGCGATGGCCACACTGCAATCCCTTCTCTTCCATTTTCCTCTTGGGATCTTGGGCATGCATGTGCCTGGCGTGAATTTAACACTGAGTCCTGGACTTGAACCACGGTTGACTACATGGGAGTCCAGCAATATAGCCATTATGCCAACTGCTGGTCCCTCACTCATGCTATTTAAAAAAGAAATAAAGTGGAGACCAGCAGGTGGTGTGGTAGTTGAGGCATTGGAATCCTCTGTGGCTGACTGCAGTTCAAGCCTTGGACCTGGGAGCTTGCTTTCCCACTTTCTCTTTCTCTCTCTCTGGTCAAATTAAAAAAAAAAATGATAATAGCAACAGACAAAATTAAATAAATAAATAATTCAAAAAAAAAAGTATACAGTTCAGTGGTGTTTAGTAAATTCACAGATAGAAGCAATCACCACGACAAATTTAGCACATTTTCATCATCTCAAAAATAAACTGTACCCCTGGGGCCAGCAGATGGCATAGTAGTTAAGGCACTGGACTCCACTGTGGCTGATGTGGTTCAAGTTCCAGACCCAGTGGCTTGAAACTCACACCAGGCACAAGTGCCTTAGTGCCCGAAGTCTAGAGAGGAGAATAGAGGGTAAGAGATTGTGGTGTGGCCATCTCCCTGGGTGGTGATTTCTCACTTTCTGTCTGTGCCTCTCTGGTTAACACATACACCCTGTAGCAAAACTCTCTCAAAAAGATAAATAAGACATATCTTCTTTAGCTGTTACCTTCTACTTTTCCTGCTCTAGCCCCTGGCAACCACTAAACTATTTTCTTTTCTTTTTTTTTAAGAACGAAGTATTTTTATTTATTTATTTATTTATTTAAATTTGACCAGAGAGAATCAGAGAGAGAGAGAAAGAAGCCACCAAGTTCAAGACTTGAACTATTGTTGGCCACATGGGAGTCCAGCACCCTTAACCATCATGCTACCTACTGGCCCATACTAATCTACTTACTATCTTTTTTTTTTTTTTTTTTTAAGAATTATTTTACTTAACTTTATTTATTTGTTTATTTTAATTTAACCAGAGAGGGACAGAGTGAGAGAGAGAGAAGGGGGGGGAAAGTTAGAAAGCAAACTGCCAGGTCCAGGACTCAAACTGCGATTGGCCATGTGGGAGTCCAGTGCCCTTAACCACCACGCCACCTGTGGGCCCCTACTTTCTATCTTTTTAGTTTTCCCTGTTATGGATAAGTCATATAAATGGTGTCATAATGTGTGGTCTTTTGTGATCAGCTTCTTTCAACTAGTATAATGTTTTTAAGGTTCATCCATGTTGTAGCATGTATTTTTTTGGGAGGTGAAATGTGCTAATCCATTGTCCAGTGCTTAGAACATTGTAAACACAAGGGCTCCATAATACTGAGCCCTTTTTATTTTTTTAGATTTTTGCTATAAGGTGCATGTGTTCGCTAAAGAGAAAGAGAAAGAGTGAGAGGGAAAGTGAGAAATCATCCCCTTGGGAGGATGGCCACACCTCAATCCCTTCTCCTCCGTTCTCCTCTTGGGATCTTGGGCATGCATGCACACGCGCCCGGCGTGAGTTTTAAGCCACCGGGTCCGGGACGTGAACCACGGTCGACTACGTGGGAGTCCAGCGACATAGCCATTACGCTAACTGCTGGTTCCCATATTCTATTTATTTTTTAATTTTTTTAATTTGACGAGAGAGAGAGAGAAAGCTGCCAGGTCCTGGACTCGAACTGTAGTGTGCCATGTGGGAGTCCAGTGCTCTCAACCACCATGCCACCTGCCAGCTGTACAAATTGAGTCTTAAGATAAAAACAATTCTTATGTAACCCTGACTTTTCATCTATCTACATTTATCTAAGAAGAGTGATTTAGCTTGCCTTCAAAATGCAACTGCTTAACTGTCCTCTTATTTCTGACAGAGGTGGCCTCAGTAACATGCTGTTCCAGTGCTCCCTACCCGACACTACAGCTACTATTGGTGATGAACCTCGGAAAGTTCTCCTGCGGCTGTACGGAGCCATTTTACAGATGGTGAGTTCACGGGCTGCTTTGGGAGGGGGGAACTGTTTACATTTTTAAATCTTCTTTCCTAAGATACCTGAAGAGATTTTAAATACTTTAGTGTTGTTGCTAAAGATATTTAAATCTATTGCTTCTATTTTAATTGGGCTGCACAACTTGACTTATTGTTTATATTTTCAGTTAATTCCATTTTTACTTATTATTTATTAATATACTAGTGTAAGTATTCCCAGTTTTATGTCCAGAGAAGGTATAATGTTGGTTAATAGTGCTCGATGATTCTTGGATTTTCTACCCATTGAGATTTTCAGCTTAGACTTAGATTATAGATTGTAAATTCTAATGGGGATGAGATATTGTTTTTATAGTGTAATCAAAAAGATTTTAAGAGGATAGTCTCAATTACCAAAGTGTGTTCTCAATGAAGCTGAATTTATTAACTCTTTTCCTGAGATTTTGTTAAAACTTTGAATTTATTAAATTCATAATCTTTCTAAACTTTTAGATTACTTAAATTTATTTCAATTAAAGTACCTTGTTTGGTGCTTTAATTGCCTTGTCCAATTATAGGGTATCCCAAATGTCTGGGGTTTTTGTTTGTTTGTTTCTGCTATTCATGCCATGAATTTACCATTTCACTGATGACACAGAAATGTTAGGTTGACATATTTGTGTGGTAGGATTTTTATATCTGTTTCGTTGTCTTTGGACATTTTTATTTCCATAAAATAAAATAATTTTCTGACTACATTTTAAAAAGATCAGTCTTTTTCAACTCAAAATATAAAGCAAGTCAAGACCATGAGTCTGATATTTAATGATATGTTTAGAAATATTAAAATTAAAGTTGACAATCTAGATGTTAATACTTTAAAACATCGTCATAATGTGAACAAACCCTTTCACTGGATAGTTTTTCCTTGACTATGTCAAGCTGTGAAAGTGGTTAAGATCAAAAAATGCTGGGAGCTAGTTAACATGTTTGGTAGCACATAGCACTTTGCTGAGGACATCTGAAGGCCCTTTGTAATTATTTCCATACAGCAGGTGTATAAATAGGAGTACAGTTGAAGCTTAGAAGTTAAAACACTGACCCTTTGCTAATCATACACAACCAGACAAGATTCTTGTGTTTACCATGCAGCTTGTTTTTAATCTAATCAAATTGAAGTCTTACAAGCACAGTTTTTGAAATACTGGGTGTCTTTTTGGCACTTTTAATGAAATAAGTCTTTTTTAGACAATTTTTTCTTTTGAAGACTGTTTATGTTCTGCAACAATTAAGTCGTATTTCTGCTTTCATGTTGTGTGCTTTTCACTTAAGCAGTACTTTAAAAATACTTTAATAAATAGCTGCTGGAATCTCATGTGATAAAGACTTTTCTTTAAATTTGACTTATGACTTTCGTTTCTATTTATAACTTAAATAGAAGTGTTTTAAATGTGCACAATGTTCTTTTCCCTGTATGAGACTAAACTAGGAGCCTAGTCCTGCAGTGATGGAAGGGGTAGAATGTTTTACATCTGTGATGTCTAGTATGCCAATCACTGGCCACATGTGACTATCGAGCACTTTGAATGTGGCAAGAGTGATTCTTGATTGAATTTTTTTTTTTTTATTTTTAACTAATTTAGATTGAAATAGTCACATGTATGTAGTGGCAGCTAGTGTATGGAACAGTCTCGCTGTAAAATGTGCTGGGTTGCCATACAAGAGTAACTTGGTGAAAGCCAGCTGCAGCTTAGCTTGCAACCTGGCAGTTCTCCTTTCCCCTAATAAAGACCCACTATCAGTTGTTAATCTTTTTGCTATTTCAGTAGTCTTGGAAATATTACCCTACAGCAGTTAAGTGCAATAGAAATATCTGGAAATAAAATTTGTTTCAACAGAATTCAATGTCATTATTTTTTAGAGAAAAAAAGATTATTTGGTAATTCAGAACAATAAATAGTAAAATAATTGGAATCATTTAAAATGAAATGAACTCTTAACCAAACTAATAGAATAGTATATATTTTATATATTGTTTTGGGGAGGAGGCATTCTGTATTTATCTCCTCAATTAAATTTTTATTAGGCAAATGTTAAATTAGTTTCCACTCCTGAAGCTACATCTGCTAATGAAAGATGGAAACCATGTTTGGAAGCATCTTGGATAGAAATGGAAATGAATAGCTATCTAAGTGAAGCGTAAGCACATCTGACAGTCTCACAATTGACTTACTTGCTTTTATTAGCAAAACGCTATTCTTTTGCTTCATATAAGTGAGAACTTACATTTTCAATATAGTTACTCAGTTAAGTCATTAGTTCAAGTACACTTTTTCTGGTCGAAGTTTAAACTTAATAAAACCATGAAACTTACAGCCTCAAATTTAAATATTTTTGGTTACCAAGTTCTGCAAGTGTTAGCAGGAGCTTTTGTTGCCAATTTGAATGTCAGATGCTAATGGCCATTGTAGACTGGTCACTGGGGATACTGTGACAACATGAGGAGGGAACCAAAATCAGAGACTCACGGATGTGGTTGGAGAGGAGGAAAGTAGAGAAGAGCTAAGGAGCTTGTAAAATACGAGCTGGGAAGCAACTGCTGCATGCTTTCAAGTTGAGCTTTCACGATACTGCCAGGAATTTTACCGTGAATTTAAATTTCTTTTCAAACATTTTCCAATCAGTTTTAAAATTTCTATTATTTTGTTGTTGTTGGGACACGGTGCAATCATATTACTGGTTTATGGTGAATTTTTTGAAGTCAATCTGACCTATAGGAAGGAGAAATTTATAGTTTACAACAAAGCTTTTTGTTCCCATCACAGCAACAACAACAGCAACAAATAGCCAGGATTGATATTAAATGATCAGATTTACATCAGAGAGGTGGCTGACAAAAAGAGAGTCCCTAGACCTATATAATAGACCACTTTAAGAAGTTCCTTCTTTTCCCTTCTTGTTTTAAGCCTTTTATCTTTTTACCTCTGTGACAGTCAAATACTAAGTAGAACTGTTTTACAAGTTCTTTCATCAGCAAATGATTTAGAAGTGACTTGGTTTAAAATAACTAGATGCTTCTCAACTTAATTTTTCTTTATTTTGGTGTTGCAAGATGTCTAATTTCCTTTATTTCCATAGTGACAGTGAAATGACTGCTCTTTGGTGCAGTTCTGTAAGAGTTAATTACCAGAAAGACAAGGTAAAACCTTCCTATTGGGTCAAGGCCCACAGTTTCTGTCCCACAAATATCTGTCTCGTCCAACCCCTATTTCTATATAAGATGAGACATAAGCAAACTTCCTAACTGTATCCTGAAGGTTTTGCTTAGGATTTGTGTTAGCTTTAGGGGAATTATAAAAAGTATTGTGTTTGTGACAAAGGCAAGAATAGGTCTTTTTGAAAATATGAACAAGATAAGATACACACAGCCATATAGTATTACTAAACAAAAATGTTGGTCTGATCTTAAAAAATACATGTCAGTATAATTTAGTGACTGTTTCACATAGGCTAGCTTTAATTTTAATGGGGAGAAGGTTATTTTCATCAGCTACATAGATGATGAAAACTCAACTCAACCGTAAGACTACCCTGAACTAAATAAAGTAGGTTAGTTAGTTCAATAGAAGTTTTGAGATGTAGTTCAGCCTTTGCCAATGTGGGAAGAAATATAATTGTTAGAAGAGAGCTTGAAACTATATAATTAGCTATAAATGTAACTTGATTTTTTTCCTTTCTGATACTGGGAAGGAACATGAGCTCTGCAACGTCCAGTAGCAGCCTTTTCAAAGAAGCAAGTTTGGCTGATTACAAATAACCAGTTTGCTTATTTATCATGAATTGTGGAAGACACAAATGTCAGTACGTATTGTTCATTCAATGTAACCTGTGCCAGTTGGCGGAAGTCTCAGAGGATTGCTTTGTCCCTTCCTCTGTCAGAACAGTGACTCTGTGTTAAGCCAATTCCTTCTGTGCATGAATGGAGAGATTTGGCCTCACCGCTATGAACGGTATCACAGGCATGAATGTTTATAATACACATCAAGATCTCTCGTGAGTGTTGTCTGGAAAAATGTTTTTGTTTGTTTTTTGAGTAACAGAAGGCTAATATTAGTGCTTGTTTGAGTACTAACCATAATAAAATTAAAGGCATCAAGGCACAACGCAGATATGTATTAGTAATTTAAAAAGGTAAAAGGTGTCCTCTTGCTTATTTTCTCTTAACCTCAGTTTAATGAAAAATGAAACCATAATAAATATGGAACAAAGCCCATAGATAGTCAATATCGAATTATTGGCTAACTGCGAAATCAACTGTTTTAAAAAAGATTACTGAACTAATGCCATACTTACTGTGCAAAGACAGTACTGCTGATCCTCCTTGATGGAGAGCTGTGTCCCTAGTTACTGAATATTCTGAATTTTCTTTTTTCATTGTGTTAGTGTCATTAAGTTGTTTTATTTACTCTGCTTTTAAAAAAATGGTTGCACTTTAATTATGGTATAATTACATCTATTTCTAAGGTAGTCAGAACTTCCCTCTTAGAAATAAAATCTTTCTCTAGTATGTGTGTTCCCAGTTGATCTAACCTAGTATTTCTGAAGCCAAATTACTACAAGTCCTTCCATACCTGCTTTGGTGCCTTTTTTTTGATAACTAAATAAACCTCAGACTACTGTGTCTAATTTTGACATATTTAAAGTGTCTTGTCTTGCTGGTCTTAAATGTTTGGGATTTATAGCATGAAGCCATTGCAGATTTTTGGTCCCTGGAACGATGGTTTGACAGCAGCCCACCCCTCTTTGGGAAAGAATGTCTTTGTGTTGGGTGGAGTAAAGGGCATTGGGGGTAATGTACCACTTTAGCTGTATGTGCATGTGTTCTCTGCTGCAGGCTTGTCCATGCGATCGTGCCTGGAGCACTCTGGTTTCCAGGTGACAGACACGATTCACGGTATAGTATGAGACCTCTGAAGTTGGAGCATTCTCTACAGCTTTAATTTCTTTCTTTTAGTTC